TCTTTCCTTCTAGATCAATTATGCCACCGTCTCTGAAGATGACTATGAAGTCACTATTACATTGAATTTCGCTGCTGTTAACAAGGTCAGTTCATGAGATGGGGCCTGTTGAGAGGCAGCTGGTCTAAAGCTGTCACTAGAGCAATGTAATGCTGATATATTTTAAATACAGGTCTAAAGAATAAATACTTTTGTTCAGAGGCTGTTAACTTATCTCTTCAGAGAAAAGAATCTTTTTATTTCTCTGTTGGAGCTAGATGAACAGGTATCCTTATCTGATTAAATCAGACTTCATGGTTATGTTGCTATCATCTCACATTTTGTTAATTTGCTATTAGTATTAACTTTCTTCTTTCAGCTGATGTTGTCTAATGATTCTAGCACCCCTTAGCTTTTGATCTCAGATCCTGCTTTTCTTCACCCTGGAAAGTGTGCTCTTAAATACTAAGCTTAGTAATTTCCAATAGTTTGGAGATAACTTTTGTCAGAGCTCCTATTAATTCTATTAAAAATCTGAAATGTCTATCTCAGGAATTACCATGTTCCAAAAATCACAACATATACATTTCCAGCTTTTCAAGATGAAAATCTACCACTTCAAAAATCCAAAATTCAGACTGTGTCTCTTGTGTGGAATCTTGGAAAGCTTACCTTGCCATATGAGACCTGGAAAACTGTATCACATAATTTCAGAAGTGAAATTCCTCAAGTGGTAGAAACACTTTAATTTGATGAGAATCTTAATTTCATTAATTGAGGTTGTACTGATTTTTTTTCCTAATTCAAAAGAAATATCTAACACAAAGTTCAGAAAAAATTGCTATATAATTCTGCCTCAAAACAGACAGAGTTCAATTACGTATGATAATGGCTTGTGGTAATTTGACACTGATATTCAGAGCCTACATATTTTCTTATATGCAACATGTGCCACTAAGATTATAGCAGCATTACATGATAATCTTAGTAACTGCCTGCATTTGATGATTCTACAGGATATTCATCCTAACAAAGCAGTGAAGTTCAGCAAGGATTACCTGAGTGCTGGAACAGAAGCCACAGATGGACAGGATGGCAGTCAGACTAATTTTGGTGAGTTTTTCTCCCTGTCTTAGACCATAAATAGAGCACTCAGGAATACAAAAGTAGTACTTGGAAGCTTAGACACAAAGGCAGGCAAACATTCTGTGCCTATTTAAGTTGATCTTTTTTAAGTCTCAAAATATGTCCAAACTGAGATTTAAGCAATGTACAGACTCTCTCAAAAACTCCTGGGAACTTCATCCCTTGCGAGCTGAGGAGACCACTGAACTGCAGCCACAGGTCACAGCAGTGTTTTTATTATAACATTAAAACTTTAGATGTTTCACACAATCTTTTACAACAGAAACCATAAATATCAATATTATCTCTACTTCTGAGCTCTGCCAGGCACTGTCAGATCTGATGTATTTGGCAGAGATGAGAAATCATGAAATATATTAATTCAGAGATGTTGTTTAACTGCAATCTCCCACTGGTGTCAGTAACAGCTCAGCATTTTGGGCATCTCATATTGGACTTAGGTTTTCATTAAATCAACCAGTTGTAAAGTCAGCATTAAAATTCAGGAATTTTTATAGCATAATTTAACATATTGATTCACATGCAAGTTTCAACCACTTTGTGCTTCCAGTCTGAGGCTTGGCAAGAGGCAGTCACTGCACTGGGAGCTGTGCAAACCTTTTGCTAAAACCAGTTTATACTGCAACAAGTATTTAATCACTTTCTCATGTGGAAAACTGATAAATACTGCTTTGATTTTGGATAAATTATTTCCAGATCTCTCCTACAATTTCTAGTTAGGATACTGACTTTGCTTTGAATTAACACTTGTTTTCCTTTCTGGTAGGCAGAGATGATCATAATCTTTTCTATTCAAGAGGCAAAATAAAGAGAACCAAGTCAAGAACACTCATGGGACAGGAATGTAAGCCCTCTGTAAGTATCTTCTGCAAATTCAGGAAAAAAGATTTCTAGAGCAGCACTAACATGAAGGAGGGCATCCAGGCATTAAAATATAAAGGTTTTAACCCTGACTGAGGCAGGGGATAAAAGTCCAACTTAATATAAAACCTAAACATTGGTAACTGACATTTAGTTCAGAACTGAAAATAACTAATTTGTTTTTCTACTAGGAGTTTAATTAGATTTTTTTCTCTCATTTTGAACCCATTCAATTTTGACACTGCATTAGGCCTAAGGACTGCTGCAGCAATTCTCTTAGAGATTCTTTTCAGAAGCAACATATGGAGGCATTGTCATCTTCCCTTGACTTTACAACACAGAGGCCTGGTTTAATACAAGAAGCAAGAATTTACTTTCACTAGAGACCATGTTTCCTGAAAGAACTGTCTACTAAAGGGATTGTCAGTAATGACATGAACGATTTCAATCTGAGCTTGTATCAGTCAGCCAACTCAACAGGTGGGAGAAGATACAGTGCTCTGTGATATGAGTCCAGAGATAAAAATGCTTGGTCAAGTGACTGAGCTTTCAAAATGAGAAAAGGTTGAAAGCTGGGAAGAAATAAAAGGAAAAGGTTTTAGATTTAGTTGTTTGTTTGTTAAGATTTAGTAAACTAATTTCACGGAGGCAAAACATGCACATTTTTAAAACAAAATATTTCCACAAGCTCTGGAAGCTTCAAACTTTATTCCTAAACATGTAGCCATGTTTAATTTTACTGTGCTGAGCAGATCTTTGTACAGCCCTGGAGAGCTGCATTGACATAAAGTGAATCATTTGCAGACACACTTGCTGAATGAAGACCTCAGGAGTGAGATATTAGCCAGCATTACCCAACACTTGCTCAGGTTCAGAAAGACATTTCCAAAGAAGTCAGGGATTAGTAACAAGAGGCTCAGATACATCAAATTCATGTGAGCATTTTGCACTTTCATTCCAAGGCAGGGTCTGGCCCACTTGTATTTTCCCTGTGTAAAATGTCCCTGGCTGTTGTGTGTCTCCACAGCCAGAGTCTAGACAGCTGCTGGATGAACTGGGTCGAACTGGGAAAGGAAGAATCACCTTCATAGAGCAATTGCTCAATGATGTAAGTAACACTTGCTGAGGTTTCCTTTTTCAACTTTTTAGCTGTTTACTGCATGAATATTAGCCTGGAATGCAACTTCATCTTGATGATTAGGAGGCAACAACCCTGCAATACCAATCTTCAGATTGCAAGAGCATTTTAGAGAAGATAGGGCCTGTTTTACATTTATAAATGTTTTCCCCAAATTTCTATTTGGTGAGTGCATTAGGCAGTCTTCTCTGGGTTTGCCAAAGCCAAACAAAAAAACAAGGTATTAGTTTTATAATTTAGGATCAAGTCCTCTGTATAGCAAAAGCAAGCATAATCTCTGTTTCTGCTCTGGGAACTGATTTGGTTAACACACATTTACTCTGGCTTTAAGGAGATGACAAACATTTTCAGAGGAAAGCAAAACAACACACTTTGAACCTCTCTCAGTATTGAGCATTTGGGCAAATGAAGCCCATTTGCCAACTTGAACTGGCATAATACAAAAGCAAGGTTGAAGCTGAAGAATCTGTATGGTCCTAGCAGCCCTCTTTGCCTCTGCTGTGTTCCAGGGAGCTGACCCCAATTCCCTGGGCGAGGAGGAGCGCCCTGCCCTCACAGTTGCTGTCCTGAACAAGCACACAGGAGCCATCTCCCCTCTGGTGCAGAAAGGGGCAGACATTGACCAGCAGTCAGGGCCGTAAGTGAGCTCTGATCCTCTGCCTCGGATCTTTCCAAGCTTTACTGATAAAAATCTCACATGACCCACCTCTCCTCCACAAATATGCTCCTTTCAAGGACAGTATCCACACTCCCTCTTCCCATTGCCAGCTTTGAAGATTTCTCCTAACTTCTGTTATAATAGCTGCTGTTTTATTCACTTCCTTCCCCCACCCACTTCAACATAATATGATAAACATCACCAGAGCCTGCCATACTTCTAGTGTGTTCTGTATCCTCCTATTCATTTTCCCAAGTTTTATTTGCTAGGTTTCCTTAGGTAATAAGTGCATTGCTCATTCCTCCTGTGCAGGCAGAACAACACAGCTCTCCATGAGGCAGTTCTGCTGGGACTGGAGGGAGAGGAGTGCATCCGAGCCCTGTTATGGTAGGTACTGTGGCTGGGCCTCCAGCTCAGCTGCAGACCTGCTGGGCACCACTGGAGGCCAGAGCCTGCCCCGTGTCCCTGCAGGAAGGAGCATCCAGAAATTCCAAAGTTATTCCACATCAACATTCACCTACAAGCCACTTAATCACTAAGTGCAGTCACTTGCACTGAATCTAAGCAGTTTAAAACCAATGTGTTCTGTATTTACAGCTGCAATGCAAGTATACAAAAGAGGAATGCAGCAGGGCACTCAGCGCTGGATTTGGCTGTTGCAGCTGGAGATAATAAGATTATTTCACTGTTCCAAGTAAGTCTGGACAGAGAACACTGAACAAACTTATGTGACATTGGAACACTGTTCTCATCAATGTGTTATTACAACAAACTTTCTCCCCAAATAAAGCTGAAGGTTCTTTGACTTTGGGAGCACCTGATCACGTGTGTCCAGTTCTGTCTGCAGGATCCACAATCCTGTGTGATCAGCTTGGGCCCTGTAACAGTCAGTTTCTCCAAGATTGCCCCGTTCCTTTCCAGCAGTTCAGAGCACAAGTCCCCTCTGACTGCACTCTATTCTGCAAATTTTCTTTTCCTTTCCAAACAAAGGGACAAAACAAACCTTCCCAGGCACAAATAAATTTCAATGTCTCTGAAATGTCTATAATGCCTCATGAACACTGCTTACAAGAGTTTGACACTTGAGCAACAGTACTGCAAGCTGTAACTGATGAGCTTAGTTTCCTTTTTCATGTTAAAACTGCACTCAGTGCAGCCCATTGCAGTAAAGGTCAGAGTCTTGTCCTCCAGAAAATGAAGTAAAACTTTGTTCTTCTCCATTCAACTTTTATTTATAAATGCATCAACACAAGGCAGCAGCCAACTACAAACAGAAGTTTGCAAGAATACCAGGCACACTAAGGTGTGGCATAACCCAATGTTATTAGCCACAATCCCAAGTACCTGAAGTATTTTTAAAACTCCTTCCCCTTTCTATGTCCCAGAGTATCTAAAAGCATTGGTATATTCAGTACAAACATGAAAACACATGTCAACTCCTATCAGAAACACAAGTTTTAGCACCAGAGCTACCAATATATCTATGAGACAGCAATATCTCTAAACAGGTGGATTTACCAAAAAAAAAAAAAAAAAAAAAAACCCAAAAAAAAAAAAAAAAAAAAAAAAAAAGAAAACAAGTAAACCCATAAGCCACAAGTAATAATAATAATAATCATTTAAAAGCCAGTAATAATAATCATTTAAAAGCCAGCAGGAAAATTAGGAGAATCCCTGCAGTAAAAGATTTTGTATGCAATGCATCAATCCCCAGGTACTTCCCAGACAGACTTGGAGGAGTGAAGCAGAATTCCATCTGCTTCTCAGGGACAGCCCGTCTGGAAGCAGCTTCAGGGAACACGGCCATTCAGTCACAGGGGCAGTGCCACACCATGTGGACAGGACAGATGTCACTGGCAACTACAAAGCTGCAGCAGTTTAGGCCAGATTCTTTATACTACAGCGCTGGATCTTGGCTTTTTCTTCAACCTTGGTCATCTTCTGAGAAACCTGTCTTTTCTGCAAAAAGTAAAAATAACATGCTGTTACCGTCTACCACTAAGTGGAATATCATTCGGCTTCGAGGAGAAGGCAGGATACATCCCGCATAAAGCATGGCTGAGAGCCAGGCAAGGGCACAGCGGCTGAACCTGCCCGAGCCGGGATGCAACAAAGCACTCTGCACGCAGCCTCGCGGTAAGCAGCGAGACCAGCTGGACAATTCAAAGACAACACGCCGTGTACGTACGAGTGCCTTTTTCGTTCGCATTTTTTCCAGCTTCAGGAACTCCTGCACTGTCAGGTTAGTCAGTTCTTTCTGAAGAGAAAGAAAACCACAGCCCCCAGTGTGCTTTTTGTGTTCCTCCCTGAAAAGAAGCGAAAAGATTAAAAGAAGGCAGCAGCTCGCAGCGAGCCGCACGCAGCCGCTCTCCCCTGCCGAGCCCCTCGGTTGCCGGCAGCGGTTCCCGGGCCGGGGCGGGGGCCGAGGGATCCCCGGTACTCACAGGGGGTCGTCGTCGGGCTCCCAGCCCTCCAGCTCCTTGAGGCAGTAGAAGCACTGCGCCACGTCGGGGCTGTTCTCGCTGGGGCAGTGCACGAAGCCCGCCGCCGCCATCTGCGGGCACAGGGGAGGCGGTCAGCGCCCGGCCCCGCGCCCGCCCGGCCCCGCGCCCGCCCGGCCCCGCGCCCCGGCCCCGCACTCACCCGCTCGGGTGTGCAGGCGCAGCCCTCGGTGAAGGGCCAGTTGTGGAAGGTGGCGGCGCGGACAGAGGCGAAGTAGAGCTGCCAGACCTCGGGCAGCCCCTCCCGGCCCGCCATGGCTCCGTTCAAACGGCCGCGCGCGGGGCAGGGCGGGAGCGGGGCGGGAGCGGGGCGGGCCCGCGCCTCACGGAGCCGGCGCCCGCGCGCGGCCGGAAGGAGGAAGGAGCTTTTCTCCGCGCAACGAGCCGGAGCTCGGCGAGCGCCTGGGCTCTGCTGCCCGCCGGGAGGGCCGAGCTCTGTTCCGCCGTGCTCGGCTCCTCCCGCCGGAGCTCGGCGAGCGCCTGGGCTCTGCTGCCCGCCGGGAGGGCCGCGCTCTGTTCCGCCGTGCTCGGCTCCTCCCGCCGGCGCTGCGGTCGCTGCCCAGCGGCGGGAAGCGCGCAGGGGCCGCGCCGCGCAGCACAGCGCGGTGACCGAGCGGCCGGGCTCCCGAGGCACGAGAGGGAAGCACAGCGCCGGGAACGCCCTTGGTCCGCTTCCTTCGCTACTTTACAAGAACCTCACCCCTTGCAAAGCCATGGCTCCCGCCCCGAGGATCACTTCACTGCCTTTGAGGATCTGGGGTTAAACGAGGGACCTGGATAAAACAAGCTGGCTGCAGCTCAGCAGGTGACATAGGGCTGTAACAGCGTCACTTGGCAAAGCCACAGAGCAACATGGTCCCCAAAATCTTCACGGTCACCTTAGAGAACACAATGCAAAACTGGTCATCCTCTTCACACTACTTTCTATTTCCTAATTCTGTCTGGAAAGGAGGAGCTTGCTAAGGCCCGCATGTGTGCACCTTCTCTGGGGGTGCCCATAGGGAAATGCATTTCTTGCTTTGGTCAGCTGCCCACACACATCCTCTTCGGGCCATACTGGAGTTTGCTAGATTCTAATGAAGTAAGATGATGGAAAGACACCTTAACAAACAGTATTAACAATTACTCCAACAGAAGGGCTTTAATTCCACTCATAAAGACATATATTTATTTTCTTTTGAAGTCCAGCTAACTTATAACATTAAAACATTGAAAATTTTCACAGTCATTAAACAGGCAGAAATGTGCATGGATATTCAGGCACACAACCCTTGGCTAGCCTGGTTTTCCTTTCCATTACCATTGGTTGGTTTTGTGTTGGTGATGATGGACACTGGCTACACAAAAACATACTTTCTGTCCCTTTCTCCTCTGTTACCAAAATGAAGACTTCACTAAGTAGTTACTAAAACAACTCTTGCTTTAGTCAGGTAGCCAACAGGTACACACAGTAGATTAAGGACAAAAGTCACATTTAGTGTGTAGCTCTCTGTGGGCTTGATGTAAAAGGACCATCCCAATGGATGTGATCCGTAGTTAAAACACACAGCCTGACCTTTGGTCAGTGCAGTTTTCTGTTCATCTGCACTGAAAGGCAGGCAGAAAGAGAAGCTGCTACATTGTGGAAAAGGACAAGAGCCACTACCAGAGAAAGTGTTCAGGATTCTATTTTTTAATTCTTAGGCATTTCTCTTTATTCTTTGCTAGGTGAGCCTAGGTGCTTCCAAGAACTAGATCTGGGCCACCTCTGCCCTCTCCTCCCTCCAGGCTGCAAGCACAATGCTTCTACAAACCAGAGCCTGCATTTCAAACATCCCCGCTGACTTTTGCCCTGGGTTTCTTCCAGCCAGAGCGCCTGTAGCAGGAGGAGGTGGGTGCTGGAGCCTGTGAGGCTGCTCTGTGGCTAGAGGCGTGCCCAGTGATCTGCAGACCAACAACCAGCAGGGAAGTGGAAAGATTCCAAAGAGTTGACTTGGCAGCTGTGGTGTCCTACCTTGCCTACACACAAACCCACCTGACACCGTTCCTGAACACAAAACACTGTGCGCCACGAGACCTTCACACTGAGCACGGGGCAAGGAGGGGAAGGGAAGGCAGCAGGGAAGGAGCAAAACAAAGGTGTCTCCTCTGAGCCCTGTGCTTGGGATAACAGGAATGAACACACTCTTCAGCAGTCCTGAAACATGGTTCCAGGACTATGGTTCTGGCTGGCATGTGCAGAACTTTTCTAAAGTTAACATCCAGCTACAGGCACCAATATCTTATTTCTCTTCACAGACTCAAGACAGTTCCTAACAAAGTAATCAAACTGCAAAAACACTGAATGGTTTAAGTTTAGGTGTTCATTTTTGCTCATAAACAAAAACAGAGACAAAAAACCTCTGGTTTAGCCCCTCTGAAGTGAAAAACACTTTTTTGTTTGGTATTTTTGTTTGCTAATGAGGCTCTCTAAAGTAACAGGGGCAAAAAAATTCCCCATAAGGAATTTCAATTTTCCAGTGGTTTCAGTGTATCCTAGTTGGCATTTCCAGGCCTCTCCCCTTGGAGCACAGGAATCAATCCTCTTTCCACACACAACATCTCACTGCTGACATCCAAAGTCCTAAGGATAAACACACCAGCGTGTTCCAGCTCTCCCGTGGCAGCCAACATCCTCCACCAAAAGCTGGGGGGGTTTTTTGGATGGACTGGGCTTTTCCCCAGACCCCTCCCGCAGCTCAGCGCCGCAGCCTGAGGAAGAAGGCGTGCTTGCACTCCTTGCTGTCCAAGGGGTAATACTTGTCATAAAAATCCAAAATGTACTCCTCGGTCTTAAATCCAAACTTCTGGTAGAGCAGCATAGCAGGGTTGCTTGCAGAGACGTGAAGGGTGACGTCCTTGCCCATGCAGGTCTGCCAAAGGAGGGGGAGAGGGAAAAAAGGAGAAATCACTGCAAGAGAACAAGACAGCCTCTGGGGGAATGCGGAGGTGAGGAGATTCATCAGCTCAGGGAACCAAGGTACTGAGGAAATGTGAGAAAAGTCACCAGAGTTACCACACATAGCAACAGCCAAGGGAGCGCTGCTGCTGCTCCTCCAAGCCTTTGTTTCTGGGAAACGTGGATTCTCTGACAATGAAAGGTTTGGGATTATAATTTGTCATCTGCTCATTGTAAATTACTAGAGTAATTGTTAATTAGAAATAATCTTGGTGTACAGCCCTAATCTCAAATACAATGGCCTGAAGAAAAGACAAAACATGCCAGAGGATCAGGCTCTGCACTCCTCCCTGTCAGCAAACAGAGCTGAGCTCTCTGGGACTGCCTGAGCACCTCTGTGCTGTCACGCTGGAATTCCTGCCTATCCCACCCAGCTCCTCTCCCATCCTTCAGGGCACACCACTTGCCTCCTGAGAAGGCAGGAAATAATAGCATGGCTGAAGTTACCTTGAAATCCTAAACTATTCCAACCAGCAACACTCTGATTAAGATGCTGAAATAATTTATTTTCTGCTTTCATCGAGTGATTTAATAACATTCCATGTATATTGCGTTTATCGTAACTCTAAAGTGGGAACAGTAATACCCTCTAGGAAATCTCCAAGATAATACATTCAAAAGGAAAACTCTCGGGAATTTAAGGAGGGAAGGAAAAAAAGAAGTAATTGGAAGCTGTTTTGGGGAGAAGAAAATTTGAATGAGATCATTCAGAAAATGCAGTTTATTCCTCTGGGATAGATGCATGAGAGGATAAATTTTGACAGCAAAACCAGCTACCTCTATTTGCATCAAACCTTCTTCCTGTTAAGTTATACTTCTCTCAAGAATTCAGCCCCAAACTCAGCACACTGATCCCAAAGTCAGCAATCTACTCTGCATCCAAGCAGAGCATCAAAGTGTCTCAAGCTCCAGAGAAGAAACCCCAAGCAGGCTGCAAAGCAGCACCTACAACCTGGAGACTGAGAAACAGAAGGTCACAACCACCATTATCCCACAGGACTAGACCCCTCCTACCACAGTCAGAAAACCAGCAATGGCAAAACAAACCTCATGTGTGCCAAACATACAGTGCTGATCTCTCATTGCTAGCGTGCCTAATCAGACTCAAATCTCTCAAATCCGCTTGGCTTTTCTCAACAGGGAATTCCATGCAAGCAGGATTAGGTTAATTGATGTGATACATCCTACAAAAAGGTGTGAGGATTTTCTGTGGCTGACTGCAGCACCCCAGCTCTGCTGGAGAGGGAAGTCTCTGAGAGTCCACCTGCTGGATCCCTGCAAACCTTGGCGCCTGTTCCCACTGGGTGCTGACATCTCACATCAACACACTGAGCTGAGAGCAATTTCCTTCAACACCTGACACAGAGCTGCCTGGGAGAAGCAAGGGGTGAGTTTACAGGATATTGATAGAGGCCTGTGTCAGCACTGCAGAGCTGTGCAGGTAGCAAAGTCACCCTCGGGCAGCCCAGGAGCACAAAGTGCTCTTCCAAAGCAGGGATCACTTTCCCCAAGGCTCTTCCAGCACTCCCTACCTTGCTTTAGCCAAATAAGGAGGAGGATAAAACAGTTTCAATAGTGAGTTTTTGTTAGTGAAGCTCATCTTGAATACAACGTTTCCCATTGGTAGGTCTGCCAAGAGAGTTCAGGGAGTGGTAAATCTGTGGAGTTGGGCTCTGTAAAAGACATGTATCTGCATCCTTAGTCACAATTAAGCTGCCTTCACTGCAATTTAATTCAAGAAAGTCAGTGGAATTAAGGCCATTTGAATAACAGTATTCATTTAGAGATTTAATGAAGTTTAACTCCTTTAATATCGCCTGTTTAGATAGCTGAGATGAATTTTCTCAAGTACTGCTGTGGAACAAGGCCCAGTACAAGCCAGTTTAAACAAATGAGGTCGCAAACACTTCATCATTAACTCAGCTGTATTTGAACCAGAGTATAAAAGTGAAAGTGAGTGACTGAGATCAGTAAGTGATTTAATGCATGGAATAAACCTCCAGGTATAGTCAAGAAAGCTGCAATAATTCTAACTGACCCTGCTCACTCGTACTTCATTTTCTCCTTAAACCCCCCACTTATAGTATCCCTTGCACATAAACTACTGACCACTGAAGAACAGAGTTAACCCCAAGACAGCTAAAGTGTGCATGTCCTCTAATTCTGAGGACGTGACCAGGATGGTTGTTTTCCTAAACACATTTTAACTTCCAAAGCAGGAGCTATTTCCTCCCATAAACATCCACAAAAAAGATTCTTACTCTCTAATATCTGCAGGTGTGCACACAAGGAAGAAGTGAAAGCTGGTTCTCTGGCAGATTCACAGGATGATTTCATTTTATTACCTGGATAAGATGGTAAATCATGAAGGTTGCAATCCCAGCTCTTCTCCACTCAGGGTGCACCAACAGAAAAGAGATGTAAGCTTCATTGTACTTCACATCTGGCACCATAAAGCCAAAGGCAATGATAACTTTCTTGTAAAGGACAACAACACTGAAGTCTGGATACTGCAGGCACTCTGACAAATCGATTCCTAGGGAAAAAGAGAGAAACAGCAGTTGGAAGGACTGCAAACCAAAAGAAAAGTGTTGTTCGATTCCAAGGGTTTCAGGCTCTTTAAAAATACTCAATCCTTTCTTTTTACCTTTATTTCAAATTTGCGATAGCAAGAGATCACAGCATCATAGAATAGTCCAAGGCCCCTGCTACAGTAGTCCTCTGTTACTACAAATTATGCAGCCTGCATTTTGGGAAATCCCAGGGGTCAGGACACCCAGAGTGCAGGGGATGAACCCTGCCTTGGGAAAACCAGCTGCCTGATCCTGGTGCCTCCCCTGCCAGGTAAGTCTGCAAGGGAAAAGATGATACAACAAAACAAGATCTGCTTAGCAGGGAAGCTTGAGTGGATTTCAGGGAAAGCTGATTTCCTTTCAAATGACTCAAGGATGAAACTGAAACTTAACTCTCTTCAGAAGCAGCACGCATGAAACTGGGCTTTAGCTTTGGTAGCATTGCCTGCTATGGTTCCTGTCTTTTTCCTCCACCTTGCCTGGAGTTCTTACTGCTGCCTCTTGTACATACACAGCTGATTTGGAGCTGCACTGAGAGCCTGACCACAGCTTCCAACACTTGCTTTTAGCATGCAAATTCTCTAATCTGGGAGATGAAGTAGCCTCTCAGGCAGTGGTGCTTCTGTGAGTCAGAGGCTGGACAAAAGGAAGAGACCATGAGCTTGTTACCTTGCCCAATCACCCTGCTGCTGCAGTCCTAGAGCATCCACACAGCCTGTCAGCACCAAGCAGAGCAGCTCCAGGCACAGAAGACTGACTGCTTGGTAATTTGTGTGGACAAACCCTAAATTAGATGCAAGACACAGAGATGTGCCAGAAACGTCTGCTTCAGTCTGCTTCAGCCTCAGGTTGGCAATTGCAATGTATTTGGAACAAAAGGTAACAAAATAGCAGACTATGTTTTCCAGTAATCACTCTTGAGATGCAAGGCTTCACAAGGCACCAGGCACCAAGTGGATGAGTTATTTTCTTGCTGTAGAGTAAGCTGGGTGGAGCAAGACGTGGGAGGGATCGATTGGCAATAGGCAGCTATGTTAATTAAGCCAAGGCTGCAGCGTGTCTGGACAGAGCACTCATTGCCCCAGGCGCTGGTGTCTCTGCAGTGGTGCAGTTTTTCCTGTAGGAAGATGCTTAGCTCAGGATGGCTTACCACTGGAGACACTCCCTGCCCCGTTAGGGCACCAAGGCACTGTGAAAATCTACCTGCAAACCTAGTTCTGCCTTGGGAGAGGCAAGAACAGGTCTGCAAGGAAGGATTTGAAAGGATACAAGAACTAAGCACTGCTTTAATGATGCTCACCCAGTTGCATATCCCTGCCTCCCACCCCCAAGCTGTACCAGCTAAACCCTATGCAGCCAGGCTTTACATCCTCCATCAGTTCTTCACTTCCCTCTCCTGATAAACAGAACCAAGGTGCAACAATCGTATCCCAGCATCAGGATTTTTTCACCATGGAAAATACTGGCATTCCTGTTTGGAGACTGACAGGGGTGTCAGCTTTCTGATTTAATAAAGAACAGTTCAGAGTTGTGTGGAACACACCCATGCTCCCTATGTTAAATAAAACAGGGTGAGTCCTGAAGAACTTAATGAAGGTGCAACCCAACTTGGCCAGAACTTCAAATGCATTATCAGGAGAGGAGAGACTATGACAAAGCGGTTTTCAGCCTCTGCTGGGATTGCAAGTGTCTCTCACAAACTCTCAAATAGCTTGAAAGGAAAGGCGTGCCAGGTTATTTCCCCCCACACTGTGCAATTTGCATAATGAGTAGCAAAAAGAGCTCTCATCCTGACTGCAAGATATGGGCACTGCTGAACTACAGCCCTACTGAATCACCATCAGCAAATCAAAACAAAAAGCAAACAATTACCTGGGATAAAGGTGTGTACTGTTTGTACTGGCCTTCTCTAAATTAGTCTGCTGCGTTGTTTGCTGATCAGAAGCTGATGCATGCAGCAGATGAACATCCCTGTTATTATCTCAGAAGAACTAAACACTGCAGCCCTGTAACCACCTCCTGAAAGGGCAGGCATTGTCCCCAAAGAACCTGCAGTTCCAGAAATGACACAGAAAAATACTAATCTAATCTTTCCCACACCTTGTAAATACTGAGGCTTGAAGAAAAAAAAAACACAGCAAAGCCCACAGTTGTAAAAGCAATTCACTGAATCACAGAATAAGCTGAGTTGGAAGGGACCCTCAAGGATCATGGAGTCCAACTCCTGGCCCTGCACAGGACAACTGCAACAATCACACCATGTGCCTGAGAGCGTTTTCCAAACTTCTCTGGGGCAGGCTTGGAGCTGTGACCACTGCCCTGAGAAGCCTGTTCCAGTGCCCACCACCCTCTGGGTGAAGAATCTTTTTCTAATGCCCAACCTAAACCTCCCCTAGCACAGCTTCAGAGCTGTGTATTGAGTCCTGTCATCACAGAGAACAGATCGGTGCCTGCCCCTCTGCTTCCCCTCCCGAGGAAGCTGCAGTCCATGGTGAGGTCTCCCCTCAGTCTCCTCCTCTCCAGGTTGAACAGACTCAGTGACCTCAGCCATGCCTCATACGACTTCCCAACTTTCATTCTGACATATCCAGCTCATGGCTGCTAGGAAGAAACCTTCTCACAAAGGTAATGAACAGTAATCTCTGGTATAAAACTGTTTTTGTAAGTGCTGTGCTAATTAGGGCCTAATTGCCCAGTTTTATGCGATCTCAAGAGACAAAGACACCAAACCCAGCCTCCACCTCAAATACATTCCTGTAACATCAGATAATGGATTTCTAAGAACCAGCCAGACTGAAGCAAAATTTGGCCCAAGAACATTTTTTTTCTGAACAATACCACTTCTTTCTTGGAAACCCAAGCACTGGAAGAATCTTACCAGGCCAGAAGAATTCGTGGCACATGGAGTTTATAGTGGGGATGTGATTAGGGCGAACATAGCAGTAATCAATGGGTGCTTCTGGCTCAGCTTTCCAGTTGATATCATTCTTGTGTGGATTCGCCCGGATTTCTGCCAGCAGCCTGAGTTTTGGAGGCTTTGTCTCATAATCACGTCTGCCAGGAACGTGAAAAGGAAACACAAAAAGCAAGTGAGCAACAAGAACTGCCACTGCAGCTAAATGGGTACTGCCCATGAAATATCTTCTGACATGCTCAACTTTAGAAAAATAAAGAACAGTCTTCCATTCACATGGGGAAGCAGCCTCCAGTTCAGCAAAAACACCCCTGTGCCAGAGGTCAGGACACTTTCCAGACCCACAGCATGAACAAGGAAATCACGGTTCTGACCCAAGAGCAGCTGCAACTTGCACTGAATGGCTGCAGCAATGCCCTGTCTGCCCTTGCCCCCTCTTGGAGATTCCCCTTCCCAATGCAATCCGTTTCACTACTCAGCTAAATCAAACGCTATCCCTTCAGGGTTACCATGGTGCACTGGGTTGTACTTTGAGGAGAAGTGAGGAGCACTGCCCAAGAAAGGTGTCCTCTCCGTGGGCTGGCGGTGCACAAGCCAAGAGCAAGCTCAGACCCTCTGTACCTGATGTAAGGTTTAAGGACACGGGAGGTGTAAGGGCTGACAATACTGTGGTCTGTCAGCAGGTCTTCCGAGCCTACCAGGCGGTACAGAAACTTGGTTGTCTGCTGGCGGTATCCCTTCGTGGCGGGCAGCACTGTCTGCATGCACAAAAAAAATGCACAATTGCAGGAAGGTCAGTCAGTGATTTAAAAAGGGAATTGAATGGAGGGAGAGTAAGGGCCTCTCAGTGTGACAGGGTGGATTGGACCACAGTGGTACCACCTCTGGACTCTGCTGGGCACTCCCAAATTTGATGCCCAAGCCTAAAAGTGCTGCAAGTCATCTCCCTCCTACACACATGAAAGAGCACCCACCTGTCTGGGTACTTCCAGGCCTCTACCACCAGCATTTGGGCAGGGCTGGAGTACAAATACAGCAACATTTGTGGTGCTGACACTGATGGATAGCAGTGCTGAACCAGCATGTCACAAGAAGAAAGGGACTTAGGAGAGCATTGGCGGGGACACAGCCCCAAGCCAAAATGAGTCTTGTTCACATGATCCTTTTCACTTCAGGAGTCAGATAACCTCAATGTGACACTGCTGGCTGCAGCAAAAGCTGTAAAACAACCAGTGCCAAAAGCAAACTTAGATTTGGGAACACCCACCTGGTATCTGTCCAAGATCCTGAAGTCCTGGCTAGTAGTTCTGTATGTTGCTTGCCCTACTGGAGACCTGGAGACACCACCTTCTTTAGCTCCATAAATCCCATCAACCAGGAGCAATGCAGCATTCACAACCTGGTCCAAGTCAAAGAGTGGGAGTCCTCTCTCCCTCTTGGCCTGCCTGACCAGTAGCTTGCGCCTCAGCCTCCGGGCCTCTGGGGTCATGCTCAAAGCATTGGGACAGGCTTCCAGTCTCTTCAGCAGCAGCTTTTCTTCATAGATGCTAACTGAGGTGTGCTTGGGAGCTCTGGGTTTAGCATCTTTCTCCAGCTGTGACTTCCCCTTGTCTCGTCCTCTCACCTGCAAGGGTGTGTTTAACTCTTCAGGATCTTCACTGTCACCTTCCATCCGTTCTGTTTTTTCTTCTTCACTCTCCACCTCTTGCTTGATCTGCTCAGCTGTCTTCACTTTTTTCCTGCTTGCTATGATGGTGCCAGCACCACCTGTCCCACTGGGAGGGGGCACATACTCTATTCCTGGGTCTATGACTCCATCTCCTTCCATCTCCTCATCATCTGTGAAACAGATCAAAATAGTCCAGAGGAAAGAAAAAATAATTTAAACCTCAAAGTCCCATTTCAAAAATGGTTGTCACAGCATTTTCCTGCTAAGGAACAATATTGCGGGTTTACCCAACACATTTAATTTTCTATGTACTGCCAGATCTCCTGATTTTGGATGGGAGATGCTGAAAAGAATCCAATTTCAGGACACAGAATCAATCCTACTCCTAAAGTGTCTTGTAATTTGGCATCTGGAAACAGTGTCCCTCCTGAGCTGCAAGCCTATGTTCTTTGAGGAATGTTAAGCTGCTGAAAATTCCCAAAGACTGGGAAATCAAAAAGTCAAGGTGGTGAGCTGTATCTTCAGCTAGCACACTCTCACTATTCTTCCTGTCACCCAGAGGACTGGCTCCTTAAGGATCTAAGAGAATTCAGACTGCATTGCTGCTTTGCAATCTCACTGAAATTTAGCATCTGCTAATCGGCACAGTCAAACTTATAAAATACTGGGGTATTACCATGGGTATAAAATTTCTCCCATGAAAAACATTTGAGACAAAACTAGACTTGCTACATAACAGTGTCACTGTGTTGCACTGACATGCTTATGCTGAGTGGTGCAGCAGTTGCTGCATGAAGTCTACCCACTGTTTATTCAGGATCTCTCCGAAAACAAAAACAGGGGTTTCTTCTGGCCTTAGAAGCTGGTGATATAACTATGGAAAACCAGTCAATTCTCACACTCAACTAAGACAACAGAATATTGCCAGTTACTTTTCATCTTATCCTAAAAGGATCCTGCAGCTCATCGGGAGCTTTTTTAAAATACATTCCTAGAAAACTGCACACAGTTCATCACTAAAGGAAAGCCATGGTGACCCATACCATGGAAGAGCGCCTGTGGTGGCATGATGTCCGGGATGAGATCGGCTTCCGAGAGCAGGCTGGGAGTGGCCGAGTGCGAGGCAGGAGTGCCGGGAGCAGAGAAGTCCAGGGACGGGGACGGAGAGGGGCTGGTCAGAGGCGTGCGGTCGGACGAGCTCAGGGAGGAGAAGTCAATGACCTCTCCTTTCTCCAGGACGATGTCGGGCCGGCGGCAGCGGCTGCTGAACTTGACGGGAGTGGAGGAAGTGCTGCGGTCCAGGAACCCGGCTGCTTCCTTCTGGGCTCTCCGAATGTCCTTGGCTTCCTGAGTGCGAGACCTCTTCTCCTTCAGCTCCATGGCTGACTCCACTGGATTGCGGCTCACCCGCTTCCGAAGGCCTTCCACAGTAATGATGGGGTCCAGCGGGGGCTTGGAAGCTGCTAAAGAGAAAGCTCGCTTATTCTGAGCTCCTGCAATCACTGGATTCACCGTGCAGTCAAAACCACATTGACTACAGAGCTTAAAAGATGGGGTTTTCAATGTGACCAAGAAATTCACTCTGGGACATGTAGCATTAAGCCAGTGTATGACTAAAGCCTCGTTAAAGCCCAAATTTTGTTCCTCCACACAGAGGAAAATTTGCATCTAGTGACAAAAGACATTCCTCAGGGTAAAGAAAAGTGGGAAAATTGTAGATTTCAGCTAAAAAAACCCAACCAAAACTACTCTGCACAAGCCTCAAAACCCTGTAAGTCAGCACAATGGGAAAAGGTAATAAAATATAACAGACTTCTCACACTACAGCATACACACCATAGTTCTCTTCAGTCAACCATTACAGCAGAACAAAACTAAGGAACTCTCCATGCACACAAACTGCTTTTAACTGAACTTTTCTCATGTCCCCCAGCTCTGGCCCAGTGAGGACAGACTACTGGGGACAGTTACCTTTTGCCTTCAGTGCAGATGCTGACAGCTTCTCTCCTTCAGGTTTCAGTGTTGGGGGCTTGTTATGAACCAGCTTCCACCATCCTGGTTCTCCAAATTCCTGTGCCCCTGAGCGGAAAAATAAGGGGCTCCCCACAGAGAGGCAGCCAGCAACTGTGCTCCACCATGTTGAAGTCTTTTTCCTGTGGTGGGAGAGAGGAAAACAAGGGTTAGGTCCCCACTCACCAGCTGTGTTCCCATCCTGGACAGAGTGTTTCTGCCAGAGGCACTGACACACAATCACTGAACTACTCCTGAAGCACTTTTTTGGTCCCTTGGAGGCAGGGACCTTCATTTAAACCTTTCCCTCTGCTGGGCTGTGCACTCTTACTAGGCATCTTAGCATTTTTCGTCCCTTTAGAAACTGGTGACAGGGCAACTAAGATGTCACTTAGGGAAGACGTGAGAAGAAATACTGAAGAATTGCCCCTGTAGCCAATAACTGAGGTACTCCCTTGGACTCTGGAGAGTCAGGTTCATGGAACAGAGTTTAACCTCAGTTGCCCAGAATCTCAGGGTTTCTTCTTGCCTTTGCAGAACCCCACACACAGAAACTTCTGTACTTGCCAAGGCTTGGCTGAGTTGATGCTCACTGCTGCCTAGATGCTGCCCTTACACACCTTGAGGTACTGAACCTCAAAGGTGGGGGATCAAACCCTGCTGCTGCAGCTCAAAGTCTGGAGTGTTACAGTAAATCTGGATATGCTAAACTTCAATATACCAAGGAAGATCTTTGCACAGTTTGTACACTACACACACAATTCAGCTGTCTCTGTTCCTTCAGTGGCTTGTCCAGGCAAGTGGGAAGGCTGTATCTGAGGCCAGGAATCACTCTCTGAATTTTAATCAGAGAAAGGAGTGCCCAGTTCCCAGGGCAAGTCTCAAAAGGCAGCAGCAAACCCCGGGAGCATTGGCTCCCTGAATGAGGGACAATGGGCCACCAGCTGCCCTCCTGTCAGGGTCCCTGTGGCTTCCAGAGAGGACATGCTAACATTTCTGAGAACAGAGCAAGGAGGCACAAACAAGCACTGAAAGCAAAGCCAAATACCAAATCTGTTTAGGAAGAAAGGCCAGATCTTACAACAGAGAAATCCCTGGGGAAGAAAAGAAGCTGTGAAGTCAATAAAATCTACAACTTCCAAGGATTGCTCAGTTTCTTTCCTCCCTCACAGCACACACATTAACAGTGAGGCTTGGGTTTGACAGCTTCAGCATGCTCGGAAGAAATGTGCTGCTCACCTGGGAAATGAAGGCTGCCCTCTAACAGAGGGGCTCCTACCCTGACAGTGTGAAAAATGTTTCAGTTGTTTAACACCTACTATGTAAGAGCCATTTCATTAAGATCTGAAACAATCTAAAAGGTGAGGCTGAGCTCTTCTTGAAGAACCTGGTCCTTGCAAACTTTAACGCCAAGGAATTTTGCTGGAAACATTTTTGTCCCTGAAATTTGCAACACCAGGATCAGCCCATCCATTGTGACTGTTCAGAAAAACTCAATTCTCTGCAGGTCCATATGCTGCCTAAAGAAAGATAAGAAATAATCCACTATACATGCATTTGTATTGCTTTTGTGTGACATTCCTTGGTTTGTTTTTCCCAAGTAAGAAATGCTGATTCTTTCTCAAGTGCCTGCATTCAGATTCTCAATATTAAATCCTCCCTTTCTATCACTCAACAGAGATGCCACCAAATTAACCAGGATTTTTGTCCACCTGCATGACAGGCTTTAATCCCTTTGGCTCACCAACCAGACCCTCAGGGAAGTATCATGTCTTTACCTGTTCCCTAGTAAGAAAGTCCAGTGTTTCTCAATAAAAGCACAAATGTCTTCTTTCCATCTGAAGTACCCCTGGCGGCCCGTTCCTTCCAGAGACAAGTTGTACATTGCCAACATGACAACCTGGAACAGAAAGTGTTGGACACAAATGAATCCCTTCTGCTTTTTCTGCTGAACAGACCCCCACAGCTGCCACACACACAGAGATCTTTGCTCTCTCATAAATATCTTATTTTTGCAACATCTCATAGGCAACTTCTGCAATCGATCTTCTTTCTGGTTTTGTGCTGCCTGTTCTTGTCTTTCTATTGTTAAATGCACATTCTTCCAGAGATTTCTCCATCCCAGGGGAATAACAAGCTGACTAGTTATGCAGGTTTGTGCTGAGACACAAGAATTGTGCAGCTGTTGTATAAATGAATTACAGTATAGCTGAAGTCTGAATATGATGTGGAGGTAGGGAAACAGTCTTTCAAATAAATAAAAAAAAAGGTCACAAGTAATCCTGCTATCCAATACATCAGGAACACTGTGACAATGGTCCTTCACACACTTCACAATCAAACTCACTCTGATCTGTTACATACCCAAACTCAAGGGCAGGTCTGGAAAATATCTCACCTCCTTCAAGTAAATCCTAGGTGAACAACGGTTAATTACATTTCCTTAATTAATTTCAATTAATTTATTAGAACAAAACTAAAGTCAGCCAATCTGGGACAATCATTCAACAATCACCCAGCCTCAGTTTGGCACTACTTCTAATAATGACTTGCATTTCACCCTCAGAGAAGTCTGAAAACTGCTTTTCACAGGGAGATGGGTCTCCTCACAGTGGACCTTGGCTTTCTGGGATGCATTGTCAAAGATGTCAAAATGAGGAAATATGGACAGCTTTAATGTCTCCTTCACCCTATTTTTACCTCACAACCCCTCTCAGTTTGATAACTAGGATTTTATGGGTTTTAAAGTCATGTGAGACAGTGTCTCAGGATGTCAAAAATAATTCTCTTTTCATCTGGCTAAAGATATGGATCTGAGGCCACAAACTCTAAAAAAAAATCCAGAAATCACTGTCCACATTCTTCCTGCTTCAGGTAAGTTCGTTTGACCATTTCTCTCAATTCCACTTACCCAGCAGCAGCAGCAACTCTGGCTGCCGGAAGCCCAGGGAGGTGGTCAAAGCTTTCTTCCTCACCCATTTTCATTCTGTCTGCCCCTTCCACATGGCACTCTGAAGAGACCTGGGCAATGCCAGCAGCCTTTGCTTTCCCAGTCTGGAACCTGGTGAAACTCTGCCAGTCTGCCATCACAGCCCCTACCTACACCAACCTTTTTCCTGCACTGGCCACCATGAGAAAGCAGTGCAGGAGTTACAGTGTTCCAAATTAGCTTATATGACGATAAGGCTGAGTGCCTATGAGTAAGAATCAAGGAAAAACCAACAAGACTGGTATTTTCAACAGTGTGAGAGCTTGTCCTCAGGACAAGTGGCCTCCTGAGCTGGTAGATAGGGACAGGGAGCAGAATAATAATCCTGTTATTCAGGAGGAAGCAGCTGGTGACCTGCTGAGCCTCTTAGATGTTCACAAGTCTATGGGACCAGATGGGATCCATTCTAGGGTGCCAAGGGAGCTGGCAGAAGAGCTCACCAAGCTGCTTTCCATCATTTACCACCAGTGCTGGCTCACCAGAGGGTACCTGATGGCTGAAGGTTGGGCAGTGTGACAGCCATCCATAAGAAGGGCTGGAAGGAGGATCCAGGGAGCTTCAGGCCTGTCAGCCTGACCTCAGTGCCTGCCAAGGTTATGGAACAGATCATCTTGAGTGCCATCCCTTGGCACCTACAGCATGGATTCAGGAGGGGCAGCTCCTGCCTGACCTCCTTTTATGACCAGGTGACCTGCCTGGTGGATCCAGGGAAAGCTGCGGATTTTGTCTACCTGGACTTCAGCAAAGCCTCCCACACCATCTAGAGGGGCCCGGACAGGCTGGATCCATGGGCCAAATCCAATAGGAGTTTTAACAGGAGCAGGTGCTGAGTCAACCCCCTGCACCACTAGGGGCTGGGGATGGAGCAGGTGGAGAGAGGCCAGGCAGAAAGGGACCTGGGGGTACTGGCTGATGGCAGCCTGAACACCAGCCAGCAGTGTGCCCAGGTGGCCAAGGAGGCCAACAGCATCCTGGCTTGGATCAGGACTAGTGGCCAGCAGGACCAGGACAGTGATTCTTCCCCTGTATGTGGCCCTCGTGAGGCTGCACCTCAAGCCTTATGTCCAGTCCTGGGCCCTTCAATTTAGGATGGATGTTGAGGTGCTAGGGCACATCCAAGAAGGGCAACAAGGCTGGTGAAGGATCTGGAGTGTAAATCCTATGAGGAACAGCTGAGGGAGCTAGGGGTGTTTAGACTGGAGAGGAGGAGGCCCAGAGGAGACCTTATCACTCTCTACAACTGCCTGACAGGAGGGTGCAGCCAGGTGGGGGTTCAGCCTCTTCCCCAAGCAACAAGTGACAGGATGAAAGGACACATCTTAAGCCGAACCAGGGTAGGTTTAGGCTGGACATGAGGAAGACTTTCTTCACAGAAGGGAGTGACTGGGCATGGGAATGGGCTGCCCAGGGAGCTGGTGGAGTCACCATCCCTGGAGGTGTTTAAGGAAAGCCTGGATGTTGCACTCACTGCCATGGTCTGGTTGACCATGTGGTGTTAGGTCTCAGGTTGGATTTGATGATCTCAAAGGTCTTTTCCATTCTAGCTAATCCTGTGATATTCTATGAGACAACACACTATTATGGGCCCAAAGGATCCAAACAGATTTTTATTTTGATTGCTCAGGTGTGAAAATTATTGGAAC